CATGGCTGCCAGTTTTTGTATACCCACTGGGCTGTTACCAGAACTCTTCCTTGAGCACATAGCGGTAGTATTAAAAACTCTTAATTTCCACTGTCCAGCGTGCTCTCCGTTTTTATACATCTATTACTTTCCTCCGTTTGAGGGTTGAGTGGCGCTCTTGATTACATAATCTCTTTGAGCCCTCCTCTGCAGCGGCACCTGACTGAAGAATTAGCCCCACCTACTGCTCATCTCGATAAACACACTTCCAATATTCGCTCAACAGCATTGAATGGAAAAGCACATCAATTCGCATTTTGTGGTGGTGATGGTGAAAATTTCTCCTACGTTTGGATGGAAACTCAACTGGAGTGTTCAGTGTTTCTGTGAACATTAAAGTCTCTTTGCCAGGGGAATGTGTGAAGGAACAGATTAGGAACAACCAGAATCTGCAGAAAAGTTACATGTTGATGACTCGGAGGCTTTGAAAGATTCAAACGTTTGAACAAGGAGTTGCTCCAACATGTAATTATTCTGATATCAGTGTGTCACCAGGCTGAAGGTCGAAGCTTTGGGTTGCAAGTCAGTCCTCACAAATATAGCCATCTGAACACATTGAATGTAAAGCACCAGAACGTATTTAAGGCTTTCCACCCACTCTGATTTCTGAGCTTATGCGCTAACCGTATGAAGCACCGTGAGCACACACACGCACACGTACATACACTAACTGGGTCGAGTGGGTTGCTGATTAGACTAAGGTCATTTACCAGAAACACTGCTTTCCTCAGATTTCTTTTAACTTAAGAGCTTAGCTGCAGTATTCTGTCACACACACACACACACACACACACACACCTGTGTCAACACACACACACACACACACACACATACACACATGCGTTAAAAAAAGCACACAAAGGCACAAAAAGGCTCCGATAAACACCCAGATACCATTGAACACACGCACTCTCCCACACTTGCTCACACTTGACACGATTTACTTGAATCCATTAAAGCTGAATTTACATAATACTGTCTCTGCTTAACTGCCTCTGCAGGGACATGACACACACACACACACACACACACACACACACACAGGCATGTATACTGCAGTGTGGATGACCTTGCAGCAGCGACAGAGTAGAACTCCAACCTGTATGGATTGTGTGTGTATGTGTGGTGTGCTTATCCCCGCAGCCACATTATAGCTCTAATTAAGACACTCTGTCTCCATATGTGCTGGTCTGAGATCAGCTGTCAGGTGCCAGCTGGCTGCGAAACTTGCGATGGAAGACACTAACAAATGCTGCTCTCAGACCAGCTGAAGGCTCTCACACACACACACACAAACAAACTAAATGGTTTATTCAGTGTTGATCTGTTGCAATTGTTGTTGCTCTCGACAACTGTTGCCGAATCTGTGGATATGAATGATCTCAACAACATGAATCGTGTGTTTTCTGTCACGGCGGCTCCAGGTTGACATTTCCTCCTGTAAATAAGTAATGATTGATATTGTTTCACGTCTTTTTCATGTTGAATTATAAATAAACCTGACCACACATGCTGGAGAAACATCAGCGCTGTCGAACCACCGCAGCTTCCTTTGACATGTATATCATTTTATGTGGGACAAAAATAATTGCATTCAATTGATTTTTTAATTCAGTACTTGGAAGCTAAAAACAGGAAGTGCCTACACAGACACAAAATTAGTGGATGTTAAAAAAAACACAGATTATAGCAGTGACTGAGAAGGTGTAGGATGAAGCTTAGAGAGTGTATTACGCCTACCTGACTGACAATACCACATTTATTAACAAGCTACAGAGTCCAGACACATAACCACATATAAAGATATAACTGAAAATATTTATAACTGGGTTTAAAATGGTCGCAGAAAGGCAGTACGATAAGTTATGTAAGAAACACAATGCAATATCAAAAGACGGATTTAAAACAAGTCAAATATGAAATAAAGATAACCTAAAATGGAGATAAACTGAAGAATAAAAATTAGTTACAGCACAATTGAGAAATGCGAATAACCCTGAATTGAACTTGATAAAATGCATCAGCAGATAAATGGCTTGAAATGATCAAAAGAGATCCATGAGATGGAAGACTTTAATACTGAGATGGTGAAATGATCCATGCGTTTAAAGATAAGTTCATTTGAATGACAATGGCAGCTGCTTTGTGTCCTCCATCTTTATCAGCTCGCCCAACTACTTTATGTTCTTCTCTTCTTCCTCTGCTGCATGCTTTACCTCTCGTGGGTCATTATGCGCTCATTATTTAGAGTTTCATGATGATTTGCTCCCAGCTTTCCTCACGTATTTAACGATTGTGTTGTTCATGTGTTGGTGCTCTGCAGCTATACTGTCCGTGTTAATCAGTAGCTTGACACACGGCCCAAGGCTAAGACGAGTAAGCATTATTAGTGTAATTTATGTTTGTGTATGAATTTATGTTTTTAATCACTGCTGCACATGGATCAGCTGGTGACCTGGAGCATGTACTACAAAGCAAATTCAACATACCCAAGATATCTTTAAGTTATCTGTCTTCGCTAACCCAAACAATGGTCATTTGGACAACCAGAGCATGTTCATGTGAAAGAGGCTGGATTGTTTAAGATATGCAATGCAGGATAGTCCTAAAAGACAATGTATAGGCTCATACAGAAGTAATCCCTCTCACTTATGATCCACTTAAAGTGTGTTGCAATGTGTTTATCTGCACCAACTCTGCCCTCCGTCTGCATTCTCTTTCTTCTCTTCTTCTCTCAGGATGTTTATGGGCGTGTACCCACACAGTAATCAGGTGAGGTCAGGGCTTTATAAAAAGGTAGACACCAGCTGCCAGACCATAATCAGTAGACATCCAAGAGAGGCAGTGCCGAAAAAATGCAATTGCAGCGAGGCAAAACACCAAATGAAAGTCTGTCTGGGGTTGTTTTTTACTTTCACTTTGGCTGGCGAGTGTGTTTACAAGCAGTAACGACAGTCCTGCGTAGTATACCTTTAATTACTCATCTTGATATGAAATGATATGAGATGAAACAGTGATCCTAATCCCCAGAGGGAATGTTCTGTTTTAGGGACAGTAAAAAGTTATATTTATCTCATTGAAATGTAAATGATAGTCTTTAATCTTACAACAGAGAAGAGTAGAAATAATTTCCAGATATTAACAAAGGGCCAAGGCTCAAAATAAGTTTAGGTATAATTATTATTGTTATATGTGAGAATGTTTTGCCACTCAGTTGGATGATGAAGAAACCACTATATGAATACGTCACATGAAAACACTTGAACGTGATGCCAGACAGTAGTAAACAGTGTAGTAAATAGTAGTAAAGAGTGTAAAAGAAGTTAATGACCGATGAGGTCTATCTGAAATATTGCACTCATAATTACAGGAACTGATTAACAGTGTGTGGATTATGTTTCTGTTAAAAGACTATCTTTCATTTTTATTCCCAGCTCTCATCACACAGGTGTCTCATGTTGTTCTGAGCTGCAGCAATTGAATCAGGGTGTAAAATCAGCCACACTATCAGCTCTCACTCCAGGGATACAATAAATGGTGCACAATTAAAAAGCAGCTAAAAACTTTATCATGTGTAGAAGTTCTGTTTTTAAAACCAGAGTGGAAATAGAAAGACTAATAAAATGGTTCTACTAATCTGTAAGAATAAATACAAGTGACCCAGCTGTGTAGCACTGAAAACCCAAGGTCAGCCCTAAAGTGACCTCACTAACCCCAAATCCTCCTTCGTATTACGGGCAGGGGTGTTGCGCTGCCAGAGTGCACAGTAACGACACTCGGCCACCTGTTTTCTTGGAGTAAGGAAACAAAATATTTGCAGTTCACATCATCTGGTTGAAACTCATGTAATGTTTTTAAGCACTTAACATCTAATCGTTACCAAAGCATATGTCATGCAAGAGAGGCGATGAAAACAAGTGGAATGGTCAAAGTTGACATATGGACATTTAAGGTGTTGTGGTGTGTATTGATTCATGATGTCAAAACATGAATTAAATATCATGCAAGAAAACATTCCACCTTTGCGGGTAGCTGCTGGGAATAGTGTTTGAGTGGCACATTGAATAGATTAAATTATTTGTCCTAATTCTATTTTAAGAACATCAACACGAGAAACACAAACAGCACAGACAAACAAAAACAGCATCATCTCTGCAGTGTTCATAACATACATGATTCTGAAGTCCATCAGCACAGCACCGAGCCTTATAAGAATCATCAGGTGACCTATTCTACACATCAAGTCTGGAAACAAACAAACAAACAAAAAAAGGTCCCTATGATGCGGCCAAAGCAAAACAAACAAAAGCCCACTCCCTTCATTCTAGCTCCTATGACATGTGTTGTCCTTTCATAAAAGACAAAAACTGATTCCAGACTTAACCCACTCTCTATATCCAGGTCTAACCTGACTTTTCCCGGTGTGAAGGATGAAGGATGACCCCAGCAGCTGACTACATAACTTTTACGACAAGCCACAACTTAACCTTGTGCACACATGCACATTCAGAGGTGCACTGCAGCACTTAAATAGCACTGAGTGCACGCCTCTGATCCATGTTCCTCAAAATTAACGTTGATTCAAACACAGCGTGAACATCTTTTAGTCATCCTTTCTCAGACTGCACATGCACAGGAAACTAGAAATTTTCTAGGAATTTAATGAGTAAAAGCCAAAATTAGTCACAATAAACAGTGAATACAATTTCACAGTCTGTTAAAACCTAGGAGGAGAAAGTTTTGAGAAACTTCTTGTGTTTCTGGAATTTATGGCGTAAGTTTTTAGTCTTAATCCAAAACAAATCTCAGCATGTGGTTACAGAAAACCACACTAGATGAAACCTATTCCACGGCTCCTGTTGGTCCATCTGTTTAAATTCAGCACTTTTTGTGCAATGCTGTGTAAATGAATGAAGTCTGTCGGAGCTGTTACTGACGGCGTCTAATGCTTGTGTCTGCAGGTCTGACGACAGAGGGTCTGTATCGCGTCAGTGGGAACAAGACGGACCAGGACAACATCCAGAAACAGTTTGATCAAGGTAAAACACTCACGCACACACCTGCGCAGACACACAGGACCTCGTAAATACATCTTCAGCTACCTAGAAACCCGAAGACGGAGCACATATGAAACCGGAGTTTCAAAGCACGGACGCCGATGGTTCTCATTATATTCACCAATCCTGATTTTAAATTATTTTCCCATGAACTCGGGAGTTCTTTGGAAAGCATGTTACCAATCGAGTAGCGCTTGTGTGATGTGTGCAATAAATCCAACCCGCAGAGAAAACCGATTCCAAACCTGACCACGCAGCAAAAGTGCTTAAGGAGAAACACATGCCCTGTGGAGCAGAGTGGAACCTGCACACGAGGGCTGGTCAGCTGCCAAACCCACTGTTAGAATAAATACAGTCACCACAGGCAGAAATCACCAGCACACTGTCGGCGGCGTCACTCATTTTACAGCCAGGCGGTGAAATATGGAGACTGGACTGAGATGTGGTTGTTTGTGTTGTTTTCATGATTATTGATTGCGTTATTCCATCTTTTTTCTTTTATTATAGTCAATCTGTTTGTGTCATCACTGTGCAAATAGATAGAGTCTCAGTTAGCTTAAACATGAAGAGTTTCCTCCGCGCCCTTTACGTGATATTGATATGTTTAAAATAATGGCAGTTATCACAATGGGTAGATAAGACATTAAAATGGTTTACAGCAGCAGTAAGTTAAGACAATTTGTGTCAAAACAGCAAGCAAACAAACAAAACGACACGACATTGATATTAACTAGGGCTGGGCGATATGGCCCTCAAAATAATATTACGATATTTCAGGGTATTTTTGCGATAATGATATTCTTGACATTATGACAATTTTGTTTATGTATTAATTTAAGAACGCAGAATACTCATTTCCCCTACTGAACGTGCTCAGCTGTAGCCATGCCAAGAGGAGTTAGCCTGATGTCAGATCAACAGTGTCAGCCAGTTTGCTTCCTCCTTTTATCTGTGGTAATGTTAAAGAGACTTGAAAGATCAAGGCTCACGGATCTTTGTTTATATTCACTCTAAGGCTACAAGCTGCCCTGAAGTAACTAACGTCACTTTCTGCAGTAACGAGAAACCAACATCAGGCCAACACCTTGGTCTGTATTCAGTTATAAATACATGAGAGTACTTAACTGATCTCCAGAAAAAGAAAAGGGGACACAAAGGGTCCAAAAGTAAAACCTGCCAAGAGCCGAGTGCAGGTAGATTTTGCATTTAGTGAGTGAATCTCCGAAGGCTGTAGTCATGTTATATGTTAAAACTATGGTGAAAGTCTCTACGGTGTTTTGGTGTCATGTACGGGTGCTCTGCTCTCTTGCTTCTCTGCTGTCAGTATCAGAGATTGACAGGCTCACACACACACACACTGCAGATCTCGTTTTACACAGGTTTAAATAGTGCCACAAAACTGACCGTCTCGAGCACTCCTAGTTTCAGCAGTGCAGGACATCAGCTACTCCACTAAACCATCACATGAAGGCAATAGAATTATAAAACAATGGTCGTGTAGTTTGAACCAAAACCGCAAACTCTTTACTGCCTCCCACTTTGTCAACGTGGCGCATGACAGCTTCACTTCTACCCTTTTTAATCAAGTAGTGGTGACATAAATGAACATTCACTTTATCAGCATGTTCCTTCATTATGGTTCTTATATCCCTCAACACACTCATGTTTGTTCACACACAGATATGTGTTTTCATGTGTGCAGATGCTCAATTTCAAATGGGCCTTTTCCCTATAAGACTGCCCCATAATGTGTGTAGAGCCACTAAAATATCAAATTAAAGTACGGTTTTGTCGTGTGATGGTAGGACATGAAGTGAATCTGCGATGTGAAGTACTATAAAGAACAAGTTTGTTGTGGGACCATAATGCGTCCTTAATCATAAAGCACATCACAAAGACTATTTATATGAACATGAACGTTTTATTAAAATGTTCTTCGTGATGTGCTGTATGATGATTGAGACCAAGGCCACAAGCCAAAGCACATTAGCCCCACATTCATGTTGTTTATTGCTGCAGTTTTGCCCCTGAAAGACCGTTCCCTTCATAGTGCATGACAGAAGCAGTTGTCTGACTTCTCTTCTTCTGCTGTAGCTCTGCCATATGGCTTTATATGCATGAGAAGAAAATGCCCATTCAGTCATTTAGTGCATTTTTCCTCCTCCTGTGCATCTTCAAATGTAGATAAATAAATATCCCCAAATGGAAAACCGTCCTAAAATACAAAATGCTGCTGTTAACTGTCAGAGATAAGAGTTGCAGAGTGGCTTTACTTCACGCTGAGTCTGTGCAGTCGTCGTGTAAACCTACTCCTCTCAAACATCTTAAATAAACTAGACTTTGTCAGGTTGTATATTTCTGTTTGGGCTCTGCACACGCGTCCTGCGATCTGTGTGAAAAGCGCCATTACAGCCAATTAGCTCCTCTGTCAGTAAGAAAGGGTGGTGGTGGTGGTGGGCTGCTGGCCACTGGCTACTTCCTGCGTGTAAACTGGATCTATTTTTATGGAAATAGTTGGAGATTTAAATGATTTACTCTGGGAGCAGTGCTGTTACGATGTGGATTCTTTGGGGGATTCAGAGGTCGCTGTGGTTCGGCTTCATTAACAGTTTGGGCTGAAGCAGTGTTCTGTTGCTTGTTTATTAATGCACTTTTTTTCCTCGTCGTCTTGTCTCCCTTTCCTGCTCCTCTCCTCTTTCTGTCCCTCTTTCATTTAATATCTTATTTCTTTCCTCATTTTGTCTCCTTCTTTGCTCCTCTGTCCCTTCCCTCCTTTTCTGTCCTCTTTTTATTCTCATGTGCATTTCCTGTTTATATCTCTCTCCTCGCTGCCTCCCCTCCCTCCTATCTTTTTATTTCCTTGAGAGTATTTCTGGTGAACTCAGTGTGTGTGACTGTGCGTGCATGTGTGTTGGCAGCCTTTCAGATTCAGTGTGACAGCTGTCGTGTTACCTCAGGGCTCTGTCCTCCTTCTCGCTCCCTTTCCTCCTCCCTCTTTCTCCTCCTTCCCGTCGTCATTTGGCCGTTGCAGGGTGTCAAAACAAAAAGTGATGTATGTTTCTTTTTCATCCTGTATCTCTGCTCGCAGGGAGATTTTTTCCCTTTCTGTTATAAGCCATCATTACACAGTACTTTTACTCGGGGTTAATGAGAAAGCTGACACCGGTTCGAAGAGATGCCCTGACCTGCTGGCTGCAACTTTTTCCCAAACAGAAATATCAACTCAGAGTGATGGAGCTGGAGCTTCCCTCCTCTCTCTCTCTCGACAGGAATAACAGAGCAGTAAAATGGTTGTTTGAACTGGACGTGTATTCTGTCCCAGCCCTGCCGCTCCATCAGAGAGACACTCGGGCCTCTGTGCCTCCAGACAGACTGATGATAACCTCTGTTAGCTGTGATCAGAGAGGAGCTCTGTTCTGCTGCTCAGACACAAAGCTTAGCTGTGAGCCTCACAGCCACTCACCAGCTCTTTGATATCCTTTAAACTGAAGCATCGACCTAGGAAAGTCCTGTTTGACTCATATCTGAATGATTACCAGATCCATGTCTGAGACTAAATATTACATGGTCCTAAAAGGTGAGACGTCTGTGCAGGTTTTGGTCGTCTCCCTTTTTCAGCCAGTGAACACATTGTTCCTCAAGACAAAGATGGTTAAAATAATTGTACAAAATCACTGTACATAAATGAAATTAGATGAAGATATACGATGCAGGACGTGTTAGTTACTCATTATAAACAGTGTCATCAGTGAAGGTGCTTCGTCAGCTTTATGTTTCATCGCTATATTTTCTGGGGGGGGGGGGGGGGGGTTTTTAGCTTCCTCCTGGATGCCTGCTGCTTACGGTCTGGCACTTGACTGCTGCCTATTTATAAAGTCCTCACCTGCTCCCAGTAATGTCCCGAATACGTCAAAACACAGGAAAATAAGAAAATGCAGGCAGAGGGCAGAGTCTCTGGAGATAAATACACCACCATACACTTTCAGTGGGTCACAAGTGATGATTGAGAAAGTTTATTATTAAAATAAAGTGTAAAGAGATGCACTAAATGATCATGTCCTCTATGGTAGAGGTTCCCAACATGGGTTTGGTGTAGGGCTGTGACGGTATGAATTTTTTCTTACTGCAGTAAAAAAGCAACATATTGCCCTAGTTTGGCGATCAATTACCAAAAGTTGCAGTCTTAGTTTTTCTTTTATTGGAACCGCTGGCTCTTGGTGCTCTTTGCAAAGAGAGTAATACACATGTCAGTCATGAACTTATCTGTAAAATTCTTAGGTTTATCAGTGATGTGTAAGAACTACATGGTCGGTTGGGTTCTCTTCTCATAGTGACAGAGTGGCAGGATGACGGGTGACTCATATGAACGGTCCATGGTGGGTTGAATGCACATCGACAAGTCCGTGCTATGTACATCTGGTGTATGAAATGTCTGTATTACTATGATGAACTTGTGACATCTCAACCGTGTCCAGGCGCTGTTTTACTCCCTCTCATGCTGTTCTTCTACTTACACAACTGAGGTTTTATCCAAGGTCGTTTCCGCAACTTCAGTGTAGAGATGCTGACGTTTATTACAACTTCAGTCGTTTCTGGTGTCTTAAAATTCAACACACAGTTCTGAGTCAGCTCGCTCACCGGTGCACCTCCAGTCTGCATTCCTCTTTGCCCAGCAGAGGCACAACCATAGACTGTATAAATAATGGATGTTAAAATTACATCAGCCATCGGTTTGTGGACTGCCGTTTTGATGCCTAAAGTTTGGCATTTTGGCTGTTGCCATCTTGGTCTTTCCAAGCCAGAAGTGACCATATTTGGACGAGAGGTTGGTGGATGATGACCTCAGTGCAGTAGCATCATGTGACAGTGGTACTGCACTGATGTGGTCACCATCACAGTGCTAGTTTGGTGGCCCCTCGCTGCTCAACGATCACAAGAACTATCAAAAATTTAAAAAAGAATGAAATGTAATGTGGGCATTGGTGATGCATATTTTAAATCTAAGATGTTTTATTTATTTATTGTGCTGTTAACAACATGTATTGTGAATTGTTATGCAAAATTAGTCTGTTTCTTTGTCATGTGTCGCCTGTGTCTGTGTGCTGACACCTTTCATATTGTTTAAAAGTCATCTTTTTGGACAGAGATGGTTTACTATGCTGAAAAAAAGATGCTGAACGTGATATTCATCAACTTTAGAAACTCCACGTCTTGGTTTAGTTTAGTTTGATTAATAAATGAAGACACCTGTGCCATATTTGATCTGATATGAGACAGACCACAGCATCAATCTGAGCAATGTGACAACACTGTAGTGATCACCCATATATTCTGACTGTCGGACTTACATCACTGCCCACCTGTCAACAGCTTATTCATGTCTCCCACAGTTACACTCTCTACTCTACTCACAACCTTCGAAGTTACCCGCACAAGCACCGCTGCATCATTATAGGAAAGACTTCAATTCTTTGTGTTCTCTCTCTGTAGATCACAGTATCGACTTCATGGCGATGGATGTGGCGGTGAACGCTGCAGCTGGAGCACTGAAGGCTTTCTTCGCCGACCTGCCCGACCCGCTGATCCCCTACTCCCTGCACCCGGAGCTGGTGGAGGCTGCAAGTAAGAATACACAGACAAACAAACAAACTGAACATCTGCAGGTCCGAGAAATGACCTGAGACATGATTTATTAAGAAAAAGAAAAATTATCCCGCTTGGAATTTTTACTCGACTGTTTTAAACTCCAAGATGTTAACTTTGTTCCAAACCTGATCATTATAACCGAGAAAAAATAAAAAACAGATACAGATAAATAAACACAGCGATGTACCCTCTTGTCTGTAAGTGCTTTCTCCAGCGCTGCAGAAGTTTAGTCAAGTTTACACTCACACAGCTTTCTGTCATGTCACACAATCTTAAGAGGCTTTTTTCAGCTGCAGGATGTCAGACATCTACACTCTGCTCTGCGTGTGTGTGTGTGGTCGTACATTAGTGATACTGAGTGCTGCTGAAACCACCAGGTTGACGACAGCAGATTAATGAGCCAAAAATATACACACTGCTGCTTCTTCTTCTCTGGAAAATGAGTCAAATATAGAAGAAACACCTCTTCTCCTTTCTTTATTGTCTTTTTCTCTTCAACGCAATGTTCTCGTCTCGCTCTCTGCTCCTCTCTCCACCTCCTCCTCCTCCTCCGCTTCCCTCCGATACCTCTACCTTTCGCTTTCTGACAATCACTTTCTTTTTCATTTTGTTGCCTTGCTTTCACTTTCTATTTCTGATGCATACATCCATCTTGTCTGTCTTTCCTGTCTTCTCCCCCTAATCCCACGGCCACAGTCAGGTTATGGTGACTGTTTGACCCTTGACTTCCTCATTGTCTGTCATTCTGAGCAGGTTTTTTTTTTCATGTAGAACAAGAGAAGGCTGCATTGTATGTAGGCCTGTCAAAATATCTACCTTTGTTGGATGATTTATTGTCCCAGAAATAATTGCAATGAAAGATATTATTCCCATTTTATGTCACCGACATAATGATAATATAACAGCATAACTTTAAAGAGCAATAAACTTTAAATTCTGAAGAATATTCAGACATTCAGAAAACATAAAAAAGTCATTAACACCTGAATTTGTTTGTATATAAAGAAGAAAGAATATATAAAATGATAGTATCTTTATAGGAGTAGCCCAAAATTGCTCAGTTTGAGATTAAACAAACTCATGCAACTTAAAATACGTGCCTAGCAAAGCTCCGGGAAAACTGCAGTAACCTCCATAATCTAGCCACTGTGCTGCAGTCGGCTCCCAGGGGTGGAAGATCTGGGAGCCAGGTGGTTAACTGGTGGATTTACGGAGTTGAGGATGAAGTTGTTGGAAGGTAAAACTACAAACAAGACTTTTTAACTCACTAACAATTATCCGGACTGTGCCTCTTGTTCTCTAAAAGTGCAGCTGAATGCTGCTGATGTGCTAACGTTACGCTGCGTCGTCTTTGAAATATTGTTGTGTTTTTCTTTGGACTCATGCAGGAGGGCAGGGTGGAAAGAAAAAAAAAGGGAGAATCACTGCACCCAAGTATTAAGCCCTTTTCTCCCAGAGATCAAGCTTTAGAGCTGCTAGGAAGTTCCTTCTTTACACCACCTTTGCATTTTTACACAGAACCAGACAATGGCGGTACCATCATGTGATGGGCATGACATGTAACACATGGGCATTGCTTATAAACAACATGGCAATAAAAATCATTTACTGTCCCTGTAGTTTGGCGGCTGATCTTGTCCTCTGCTGGGAGACTAAGGGGCTCCCAACTTTATTGTTCTCCCAATTTGCAGGCAATTTACGGCTTCTGTTCTTCCTCTTTGAGTTAGCCGCTAACTGCTACTAGCCACATTTTAAATCTCCGGCAGTGGGTCGCACACATAACATGCCATCAAAACGTCACACCTGTGCCTCCCATGGTCCCATCCTGCCGGTCATGTCCATATATCATATGATACTCTGTCGACACTGTAATGAGTGTAACGGGTCTAGTCATATGTACAAGAACATCATCAACATCAGTGGACATGCTGCTGAAATCTGCACTCAGATAACAATGATCCACACTCAGCACTGCTGTAACAACAGTCAGTGTGCGTTCATAAAGGAGCCTCAAATAAATAATGGATAAAGTCAAATGTAGTCTTCTCTTCACTCCGTCACATGGATTCTATTCAGTAGATTCTAATGTTGAACTGACTTTTAGTGACATTTGTTTTCCTGTTTTACTCCTAAGCCTCAAACACTGCCCTTTACATCATTCATTCATTTATTTATTCATTCACTCACTCACCCAGTGGTGTGACTGTGTTTCTATCCAGCATGTTTTCACTGAAGTTTTCAGCGGAGGATTGTTTTTATCTATATTTTATTTTCCTCCCTGGAACAAAGCTCACAGCAGCAGCAGCGGCCTCGTTTCCAGACGCAGGGTTCATTAAAGTTTCATGAAATTGTAACTAAAACTCACCATTTTCAGTTTTATCTCCTTACTGAACCCGTTGCATTGTGGGTACACGGTGCGGACATCATTTTTCAGCCCCATCAGACTGGTTCATATATAAATATAATTAAAGGGGATCAAATCGTTATATCCATCCTATTAGTCCCCGTCTGTGATATTTCTAGGTAATGTTGAAATATAGCAGCGCAGATTGGCAACCTTTGATCTCTTACAGCCATTAGAGGGTCAAAGGCTGCCGTTGGCTCCTCGTTAAGATGATTGATGGTGCGCAGGGTGAATAAATCTGTGTGTTGTTACATGTGTGGTTGTAAATTTGTGTCTAAAAATATATGGAAGGGTTCCCGCTGCTCCTGGAATGTCTGGAATATTCTCCAGGATATTCCAGACACAGGGGGAAAGTCGGGGTTGTGTTAAAGAAGCTTTGTTGTGACAGTCCGAAGGTAAAAGCTCTTATATCACATCTGCTCTTTAAATATTTAATAAGTGAGCAGAGCGTTTCAGCTCCAACGAGCTTTCGCTGGCGGGAAAGTGATGGATTCTCAGGAGAGGATGAGGTGTATCGAGGAACTTCACAGACGGTTGACTCTTCAGGAATAGAGCAGGACAGGATTTCTTTTATGTTTATTTGTTATTGTTTTGTTTTACTGCCTCTCAGACTTCTGCACAGCTTTCCATTTTATTAGATCATATTATCTTTACAATTTTCTTATTTTTCTCAGACTAGATATTCTGTTGCTGTTGTAAAAGACTTTTCACACAGTCCAGAAATCCTTGGGGTGTACTATCCCTTTAAGAAAGATGAAATAAGAGAGAGAGAAGACTGTCTTACAGGATCCTTTTAATCTTATTGACAAGTTGACTTGTCAGTCAGTAAAAAATCAATCGGGCAGTTTTAGAGGGAATAACGTTATTGATGAAGTGATGGCGCCACGGTGGTGCAGTGGTTAGCATTGTCGCCTCACAGCAGAATTTCGGTGCAGAGTTTGCATGTTCGCCCCATGTCAGCATGGGTTTCCTCCAGGTACTCCAGCTTCCTCCCACAGTCCAAAGACACGCAGGTTAATTGGTGACTCTAAATTGTCCGTAGGTGTGAATGTGAGTGTGTACCCTGACTCTCGCCCAAGGTCAGCTGGGACAGGCTCCTCCAGCTCCCCCGCGTATGAATAAATGAATCAATGACAAGTTGAGTCGTCAGTCAGTAGAAAATCAATGTGGCAGTTTTGAGAGGTAATTACGTGATTGACAAAGTAAATTATAAATCCAGTTAAAGTACAGAGCACTTGCTTATTACATCTCTAGGCTCTTGGAGCTCCAAACACCTTTCATCGTCATTGTATCGTTAAAAAACACAATAAAATTAGGGGTGCTACTCCTGTAAGACGCCGACAGTTAAAACTGGAGCCTTCATATGTTCAACCGCATACATACTTAGCTTGACAGAACTCAATGAACAAAAACAGCACACACACAAAAAGGCATCAAACTGGAGAGCAGAGAGTCACTGCTCAAATGTGCTCTGCCATCTTGCTCCTGTCAGATTGGAGATTAAAACAGTAATCGACCAAACATCATCAACATATTTTACATAAAGCCACACATCAAAGCCCCCCGCCTGACTGTAAAGCACTTTGTCTCTCCAGTTTAGAAACATTTAAAACTACAACACTAAAACACATGGGCTCAGCTCAGCTGCAGCAGGGAGGATAAAAACAGCTTCAGTTTTTAGATCATTAACACTCTGTGATCAAGTCCCGCAAAGTACCTGAAAATAAGACACAATGTTTACCCCAAATTACAGATTGATTAGATAGACAGAATTCAGAGCCGCAGCGTCATCAAGTCAAAAAAACAACAGGCTGAGAGCCACTTTGTTGACAGGAGCACACAAACAATAACACCTCACATGTGTCTAATAGTCCTACAGTGCATAAGAATGCAGTTGCATGCTGCATTACAGGAGGAACATTAAAATATTGAACATTACAGACAGGAAAACCCTATAAAACTTTGTATATTAGCCCAAATAGAGGCTCAGTAGAAGTGTTTTATTTCCAGTGTGTAATTTAATAGTAACAGTTTGGTTATTAGTCAGCTGTTTGGTGCCGCTGTGGCTTTATTAAATCTGAACACAAATATGTTTCCTTACTCTGCAAAAACTGACCTGTTTTGTTTTTAACCAGTGCAGAGTCAGACGAGATGCAGGCCAGTATTGTTTCTGCCCACAGGGCTCAGTGCCGGTGTGTTAGTGTGTGTGTGTGTGTTTGTGTATGTGTGTGTGCGCACGGCGTGGGAGTTGCTCTTGGCAGCATCTCAGCCTTTTGTTTTCCAGAGTGTATAATTTCCGTTTCCCAAGAGAGAGTGTGTGTAAAATGTTAAACGCCTTCTGTCCTCTCTCCTGCGTGTGTGTGTGTGTGCTTGTCAGAAATCGTGGACCACATGGAGCGTCTGCAGGTGTTGCGGGAGATCGTGAAGAAGTTTCCCTCTGTCAACTACCAGGTCTTCAAATACATCATCACACACCTCAACAGGTAAGACACACACTCGCAGAAACAACCCCACTCACACACACACACTCTTAGCCCACATACAGGACACATACACACACTCACACACACTGCACAGTCAGTAGGATGTTGTTTATGACGGAGTTAAATCCTCAGTATGAAGCTCCAGCAGCAGCTAAACACCTTGATGCTCAAATGTACGTACATCTGCGATGACAGTGAACACATCACAGCAGGAAACTTCATTAAGACTTAAAATCTGCCGTCTGACACGTGGCACATTGTAAACGATGCAGTTTTGACATTAAGTTGAAACATTCTGAGTATTTGTGCCTTTATTTTTTGTACATTTGCAGATGCCTCCGTATGCACTGCAGTGGTGATTGGATTTTGGATTATTTTTGAGAAAAATGTGTGTCATGAGGACATTTACAGTAAATTTAAGTTGCTATAAAACATCCAGCAGAAGATTAGATTGCTGACGTTGTGTCAGAGAAGGAGACTGAGCCAGTGGATGAAGGCGAGCTCACTTTATTCTGTCCTGTCTACAGTGATTATTTCTTAAACTGGTTATTTAGTCGTAGTTTCTACCTAAAGAATTGGTGGCCTAAACAGCTGCATTGATTCTGTCAGAGCTTTGAGTCTCATTGGGCCCACTGCAGGAACATTTTCACATTCTTATCTTAACACTTATTTTCTTTTTTGTTTGTGAGGTTTGTTTGTACAAGTGTTTCAGGTTGGATTCACTAAACTCTCCTAACTGGGCGAGTGCTTGTTTCAGCCTGATAAATACCACCTGTTCATGAGGACGAGCATGTCCATGAGATTTCATCATTAGCACAATCAATGCCCAGAAAATTGGCGTATCAAGCTGCCTGTGCTGCTCTGTATGTGTAGGCGGGCTTCATTCACAAAAAATGATACCAAAAAGATTTTCTCACTTCCTGCTGTCAGCAATCAGCTGACAGAAACATAACAAGTGCAGCAGCGTCAGGAGTCTTATTAGTGGACCTGAAAATAATAGCTGCCAACAACATGTCATCAGAGCAGCGCCATACTGTATGAGATGTAACAAGGGAATGCTTTAATGTGTAGTTAGATGCTGTACAACGTCTTTTAAAGCAAAGCGAAGCATGAGTAATACGAGAGGCGGTGAAGGTGGGGTGACATTTACTGACATATTAGACGAGTGAATATCACTTCATCAGCAGGTGATGTAGCTGTTGGTGCAACAGATGATGATACTGGACAGAAAGCTGCATTTAGACCCGGAGGCAGAGTGAGAACAAGTATTGAACTGAATAAGCTTTGAAATGTGCCACTATAAAATCTCTCACTAAATTGACAAAACATGAACATGATTTGATGAACAGAATTTTAATTTTGCATTACGTCTGCTGTTATTAAATATTTTATTTTAGTTGCTTTTGGTGTCATATTTGAACTCAAAATTGATTGATTGAAATTGATTTTCAACTGGATCTGTGTCACCGCACTGTGGAGTGTGTGCAGATGAACAGTGTTTGACTTCCCCCTCTTTTTTAAAAGATATTTTTGGGTCTTTTGAAAGGACAGTTATAGCATGAAGGGGGGATGACATGCAGCAAAGGGCTGTGAGTTAAAATTGAACTGACGGCCACTGCAGCAAGGACACAGCCTTTGTGTATGGGGCACCTGCTCTACCAGATGAGCAAGTGGGCACCCCGAATTCCCCATCTTGTCGCTCCCTGCTCGTGCTGTGAGCAAAAATCTTCCAGATGGCACAAAATGATGTGTTCTGCGTCACCTGGCAAATTGTGGCTGGCAAACTGTTGTGAGGCTCTGGGAGCTGGCAGCACAGGGGGCGCTTTCACATCATTTATCTGCACACACTCCCCACCCAGCACTGACACAGACCTGGTTGAAAATCAGCCAAGTATCCTTTTAAGGCATTACAACCCTTAAACCAAATGTCTGTACATGACTCCTACAGCAAGTCTAGATCACTCATAAATTTAAATAAATTTAATGAAATTTATAAATTCTCTTTAATTACTCTTACATGCCACCTAAAGACCAAACACTTCACCCACAAAATGACCATTTGTACATCGATTAGTCGTCCTGTGTTGAGTTAAATTTATGAAGAAAACGTTTCCTTGGTTCCTCCCTTCCTGGTGAACGAAGAATAAAAAAAATGGGAGAAAATTCTTGATAATTGGGATTAAAAGTGGTCGGCGTTTACAGAAAAACTAGTTTTAAAACATCCATTTACAAACTCTCACACACCTTGTGCAGTATAATCCAAGTCTCATTTACCCAGTTGTATGTTCAGTACTTCCCAGAAGTAGCCTGGAAATCCAGACCCAAATCTAGAAAGATTTACGGTCTGACCATGAGTAATGAAAATGGCCCAACTCGAGGGGCGGCACCAAGCATGCATTTGTAAATATCACTGCATGCAATTGGATAACACTACGACCAATCAGAATAATACACGGGGTGACGTATACACTTAGCTACCAGCGGAGCTAACTGGTAGATTAGACTCTTGCAGTATCCGGTAAGCAAAACAGCAAAAAAGTCCTTCTTGCAAAGGAAAGACTCGAGCGCCGTCTTCTGTTCCTCTTTTAGAGAAAAAGCCAAGTCTAACTCGTTCATTGTTGTGGCCAAAGCCGTTTCAAACAACTGGTGTTCATCCGTAGCCATCTTGCAATGTTTACTGACTGATTCCAGACTTCGTCGTCGCAGCACTGTCGTCATCTGTTTAGCGATGTGATTGGTGCAGATCTGCTCCAGGGGCATAGGTAATGAGCATCATTACTGATTGCCAGAGTGACTCGCTGAGCAGTCAAATTGTGCTCTCGTGAGAATTCTGGATTTCCAGGGTATCCCAGACGTGCATTTTTGCTAAAACTTTACAATTTAAAACACTTCTGCACAGATGAGTAGCGTGCCTGGTTAAGCAGATGCCTACCCAGGTGCACTCTTTATACGTGGAAGTGTTTTAAATAGTAAGGTTTTAGTGAAAATGAATGTGTCTGAGAAGTACTGAGCATACGACAGGATAAATGAGACTTGGATTACACTGCACCAGCTGTGTGAGAGTTTGTAAGTGCCTTCAGTTCATCAGGAAATTTCTTAGTTTTTGGATTCTTCGTTCACTGTGGAGACATGCAAGAAAGAGAAGGTTTTCTTAATGAATTCAGCCTAACACCGGATGTGTAACTGATAATTAAATGGTCATGTTTTGGGTGGAATATTCCTTTAACAGTCCTGTCGTCTCCCTGCAGAAAGTTTCCCTTCATCCTGTTCAGCACAGCGGCCAACAGGCTGGACAGTGTTCAGTGACAGAGAAATGACAGCCGTCATTAATCAAATTACTCTTATGAAAATCTAATTACTCACCCCCCTAATCATTATGTCACACTTCATTAATTAATGACTTAATCAAAACATCAGTCCACTGATGCTCCAACAAGACGAAATCAGCTCATTTTCTTGTCGCAGCTGGTGGCTGTTTATTAAACCACATAACTGCACAACTTTAAATTAGCAGTGTGTAAAATTTAGAAAGTTTAGTGGCATTTAGCGGTGAGGACTGCTGATTGCAACCAGCTGAAACTTCTCTGAATTCCTTTTAACATGGGGGTCTACGGGGATTGACTCGTGCTTGGAGACGGCCTCAAGTGGCCATTAGAGGAACTGCAGTTTTAGGCACTTAACATGTTGGCTTTATTTTTCATCCAGAGGTTGAAGCTTTGTTTCAGCATTTTTAGCTGTGATGAAGAGTTTTGTGAATAGGCAGTTTGTGGATGAGTTTTTCGTAACAGTCTCTCTACACCTGTTTCTTCCCACAGGGTGAGCCAGCACAGCAAGACCACCCTGATGACGGCCGACAACCTGTCCATCTGCTTCTGGCCCACGCTGATGCGGCCCGACTTCGAGAACAAAGACACGCTGTCCACCACCAAGCTGAACCAAGCCGTCATCGAGTCCTTCATCCTGCAGAGCGACTACTTCTTCCACGGCGGCGAGGTGGCCGAGAGCTCCAGCAGCGAGGGCACGCCGCCGCCACACTGCCACAACATGGTGGAGGCTCTGCTCCCTCTGCAACTGCCTCCACCCTTGCAGCCACAGCAGATCCAGCACACCCTGCACCCCGACCCGCTCATCTAAACAGCCACCGGAGCATGCTGGGACATAAAGTCTGGGGGTTGTTTGTGTGCAGCTGCCAGCCGCTTTGGGCCATCAAATCGCCTGGAGGTCGTCTTCTGCTCTACAAAACGCTGCTCGGCTGTTAGAATAAAAAATAAAATGAACCCGGTTGGTGCAGCTGCTGTTTGTCATCGACTTTGAGGTAAATGAGCTTCGGGGGTTTTAGAGACACATCGACCGTTTGTTGGATTAAACCTAATCTGTGAGATCGGCTCATCCTGTGAGGTAAATCCTGGATTAGAGAATTACAATCGAACGTCACCTTTTTTGGAACTAATTTTTGGATCTGACTGCCCCTTTTATGATACGGAGACTGAAAACAGTTGATGATTGAACTGATTTGATTTGGCACATAGTGACAACACTAATCGTTTAGCAGGGTCTGACTACTTGGACTTAGGGGCAGACAAAAGATTTACCCTCCTCCTACTTTACCCTGATGAAATAGCACACTGGGGTCCTGAGCAGGTCCCCCTTAAACCCTGTCCCCCTTCTCCTGATCCAAGACAACAGAAAAGGGAATTTAAAACTTAGAGAGTCCCCACGACTGCAAATACAACACCTGATTTATGAGATATTTGACTGACATTTCGGCACAGGAAAACATTTCTTCTTCTTCTTTTGTCGCCCTTTGACCCAAAGTCGGTCGGTAAGAGGAGGCGAGGGGACGTAACCTCATGCAAGAACTTTTCCCTCCGACGCCACACTGCAAGCAAACGGTGGAATAAATTGTGGATTATTTTTAGTCTTGGGGAGTCTGGTTTTAAAAGACAAAATGAAATGATCCCTTCCCCGCCACGTGAACTTTGACCCCCTTAAAGGACAGCACATGCACGGTTTGCGTCAAAGGTCCCACACGCCAATTTCATGTCTGTTTGCGTCGTTTTTATCATTTGAACTCTTTATTTCTTCTTTCTTTTTTTTTAAAGTATGTTTTTGTAGCGTCTGATTTCTACCCAGTTTGTGTGTGATGACGATGATGATGTGTGTGTCTGTGTGAACTGACCTGTGGTCTGTGTTACAGCCAGTTTGAACCTTCTCCGCAGAGGGAAGGGGGGATTCAGGAGGGAATTAAAAAAACGCGGACTGACGGACTTGTAACAATCCGTACGAGAGAATCAGACTTTACGGACTTTACTGCAAACCTTCAGCCCAACTGTCTCGTCTCTTTAGAGCCTCTAACTCTTAATGCAACGACCGACGACCCCCTCGATGACGGCACATGCGCGAGGAAACCACTACGATGCATTCTGGATCTATCCGGTTTTGAGGAGGCGTCTTCCGTGTTCGGTGACTTCCTTCACTTCGTGGAGGACGCTCCTTCATTTCTACTTTTGTTCTCCTGTTCTATTGGTTTGTTGGAAACTAAAATTTGCATGTCTCTGTTTTTTGCCACTTAGTGAAAAAAAAGAAGTTTAAAAAAATGAAATGAAACACTCTGAAACTCTAAAGGAGCTCTGAAGATCTGCATCGTTTTAACTGAACCTTGTTTTTGGTTAAAGGGGAACATTTCCACAGAAAAACTCTAAGAGGGGTTTAATTTTTTGCATTTGTTTCTTTTCCTTCATGCAAGAAATCAACTCTTAATATCATATTTTTGGTTATATGTCGAATAGTTTTCCCTAAATAGAGGAAAGAAGTATATATAAGTATATATATATATAAATTTATCAGCAGCAGAGGTTGCTGATTTAGTGAAATACCACGGGGTACTGGACTGTATAATCTGTCAGAAGCTATAATCATATTTCTTTGTGTTTCTGATGGTGTAACTGAAACCCATCTTTTTTTTCTGGTGGTGTGTGAGTGTGTGAATGTGTGTGTGTGCAGAGGGGTGGGTGATTGATAACAGATCTGTGGGTTTTAATCCTCTTTGGCTTGTCTGAAAGAGAAGAGAAAATCCCTCGCCACTTTCTTCATCGATGACACTTTGAGGTAGGACGAGGGCGGAGGAAAATCACTAAGGTCCAGATTAATTTAGTAACACCTGAAACTTGTGTTCAGCTGAGCCCTGAGTTTGTCTGTTTCGTTGGGTTGTATCCATGCTGAGTATCATCAGCAGCTGATAGCAAACACGAGATGACATTAAACATTTATCACGGTTTTCCAGGTATTTTCTTAATCTTCAAACACTCGTCTGTCCGTCTGGATAAAAGTATTCCACCTGCTGCATGAGAAAGATTTTTGTTTCCATGTTGGAACAAAGATGATGGTCAGAAACAACCTGGTCTCACTCCCAACTCATCAAATACTGACACTTGGACAGTAGCCCTCGGCATCAGACACAGACACAGACACACCAAGGCACCCTGAGGGGGTCATACACATGGCGTGTTATTTGCACCCCCAAATTAATTGTTTTCAATGTGGATACATGGAAGGTGCACTCAAAACGCCAGAGTGACACCGTCGTGGTGCACAAGCACTCCCGAGCGCCTACTTTTCAGGGTTCGACGGCTGTGCCCTGAGATAAACCGAGTTCAGCTTTTGGAACGCAGCAGTCTGTGGTAAACACGAAAAAGTTGATCATTTTTGTGCAGAGCTGCCAGAGCTTTACATCTGTCCCACAGACGATCAGCCTAAACAGCGCCTGGAAGAAGATCAGCTCTGCACTCCTGCAGCCTGCCACCGTGCTCTCGAAAGCTGACACGAAAGAGGCATAAAAGTAGCGCCCAGCACCCAACCTCGCATTTTCCAGGAGGTTAAAGATGCAGCATGTATACGGGTCATTTTTTGACACTCCAAGCAACAGCCAAATTATAATGAGCAATGGTGGGCGGTCAAACAAACTCTGGACTTTCTCTCAGAGATTGCTGTTTGTGTCCCATGTGAAACCAAACGTAATTTTAATGACAATGTAGTGTGCTAGTACGTGTAGCATACTACGCTAGCGACGTATGTGACCTGACATTACATTAGGTTAGTTAGAGTTTTAACCGACATTCTAAGTTTATTTTGAAAAGAGACTATGCATTTAACAAATGGAAAATATACATTTCCGGTGAAACTGAAGTTTATTTTGAAAAGACACAGTGCATGCAATAAGCATAAATTCACAAGCCGTCCCTGTGCATCCAAAACTCAGAGTGTCATAGTTTAACATGACGGGCCATTAACTAAGCGTCGGTATTTGACGAGTTGGGATTCAGAATGTGTTGCCAGAAATGATTTAAAAATCAATTTATTTTACACGTCCGTAATTTCAGTGTCTGAATAATTTCCATTAAATTTCCTGGAAAGAACTTTATTTATTACAGTCGTGGAAAATATTTACTCAAGTACACTTTTTAAGTACTTTACTTCAGCACTACTTTACACTGCACTACATTTCACAGGGAAATACTGAACCTTTTACTACATTACATTTATTCTAACTACTTTTAATTACATATTTTTTTACACTATATTGTTGCCACTTTCACTTGAGTAAAGGATCAGAATATTTATTTCCACTTCTGTTCATTTGGTCCTAATTACAGACAAAGTAGAATTAATATCAGTTAATTGGCAACACCACCCAGAGTCTTTTAATCAGGACACAGCGGGTCAGCTGAACGTGTCCACAGGCAGGTAAACAACTTAACATCCACAGAGAATAAAGTTTTCAATCAGAAATGAGTTATGAATAATAATTATTTGATTTTAATTACAGCTCCTCTTAAAAAGGAGTAACTTTTTTCCTTTAATTAGGACTAAATAACGCAGTTCTCACCAGGAAATGTACGAAGAAATTATTTTTGAAATTATGTAAAAACTTCTATAATCAGTTGTCATGTCTGTATTAATGTTGCCTGGAATTGTTTTGTCAATTTATACACAATAATGTGTTTATATAAGGAGGTACTGTGTCATTCCTGGTAACAAGACGAAACTTTTTTTCTTAAATCTCGTGCACCTGAGGGAATATTATTAGATCCAGATGTACATACAAGTCTTTTAGGAGTTCGAAAGTAACTTTTAAACGAGTGCTGAAGACAACTTGAGATTAAATCTTCAAGGATTCTGTTTATTTTTTTGTAAATTACAGATCAAAAGAGGTTAAGACTCTTTCCAACCTGCATTCTGACTCTATTGTGATGTTTGAGTCGACATGGTGTTAAAAGTTTGGCCGCCAAATTAAAAGCCCTTTTTAAAGCTTATTCATTCACAGTTGAGCGCACTGTTATTAACTTCCTCTCTGCTCCTTCTGCAGCAGTCAAGTGCAGTTCATTCCTTAAACTTAATATCGATCTTATGGTTCCTTCATGTGATGCTTTATACCCAGAATGCATTGCACTGCTAGTTGCTATTTGTGTGACGTATGGTGCTCCTCAGTAGAAAATGTGGACTGAACCAGATTCGTCTTTACAAATGTGATCAGCAAAAAGTGTCTCGATGAATGTCAGCGGCGGGGTATGAATCCAAATATTTGAAAATGTCAAGCGGGGGTGTGTTCCATTTTAGATATGTGTCTCCTGTGTCTTCAAATTAGTCAGCTGTTTCCTGTATGGAGTCTTCAGGCAATTAATTTGAGGTTTAATCTGTTCTTTTTTGTCAAATTCTGCCAGTATTGTTGATTTTATTTCTATTTTAAGAAAACAATCTATCAACAATCTACGTCTCATCTTCACACGAGTGCTGATAGAACCATCATAAACGCAGCAGGAAATAGATATATTATGATCATTTTTATTAATTTATTAAGCAACAGTGCTGGTTCCAGCTCACCTATGTTTGGTTGTTCAGCTTGTTGTTTATTTTTATACTTTTAAATGTAATTTTGGGGGGTTTTCAGATTGTTCGCCAAACAAAACAATATTTGAAGAATTTTTAATTTGCAAAAACATGGTTTTGTAGGCCTCCTTTCTACAACTTCCACCTGAAATTTTAGGATATTGGAATGATAACACGAGGGGACACAAATTTTAAAGGGTAGAAATGAACAAAGCCAACATACAGTAGAATATAATTTTTTATTTTAATTTGAGTAAAAGGTGGCACTGAAGAGAAATGAAATGGAGCCAAAGCTCGTCTGAACATCGCCACAAATCTGATTTAGGGAACTTTAAAGGGCACTGTGAAGGGGACACGTGTCTGGAATGGGACCCACCGCAGACAAATGGGAACTAATTATCCTTTGAGGTGTGAATGAGAGGGTACAGGGTGAGTTAAAGGGGATAAATATTCAGAATGGAACGTAGCCAAAAGCCCATTTTAAGGTTTTATGATGTTGGACTGAAGAGGACGTTGAAGGGCACGTTGAAGGGAGTGAAAGGCGACAGTGGAACAGAGCCGAGAGCGTCCTGATCTACAAGCTCAAGTCTTTTCTGGGGGGAGGGTTTGGTTGGGATGGGAGGGTGAGGGGTGAGAGGGTGAGAAAGTGAGGGGGTGAGGGGGGGGTCAGCAGCTGCTAGATAATAAAAGATTAAGCTGTTCGTCTGTAGTTTTTCATCAACCAATCAACTTGTTATTTTCTATCATTTTGTTGATAAGATCTGCTCATCCAGTCACACCGGTGTACAAACCAACTGACTTTTAACGTCATCCGCTGTATTATAGTAAATAAAAATGATTTTCAGAAATGAAAAACTCTAAAACAAGTTTTTTTCTGTTTTCTCTCCATGTTTCCAAATAAAGTTTCTTTTTTTCCAAAACTGCTGCAAGTCTTTTTTTATTCCTTTAACTGTGTATTTATGGGTTTTATAAATACACCCTAAATTAGTTTTTATTTGATTGTGTTTTAATGGGTTCATAAATACACCTTATAGTACTGTTTATATTTAATCATTGTCAAGGATGACAGATATGTGCCTTTTTTTATATACCTCACCATTATAGGACTGTTAGAAGCTGTCGTACAAGCAGTGAGTGCTGAAAACTGACACATTTTAGGACACACTTTATTAATTCATCTTATTCAGTACAGATAACACAGACCAGTGCACACCAAATAAATTAATAAAAGGCAGTAACCCACCATAAAAATACTCCATTACAAGCAAAAACCTTGCATTCAAAATATTATTTAAGTACACTAACTTAATACATTTACTCAATAACTTACTTATGTTCAATTTGTACACATATGCACACATTTCAGAGTGAATGTAGTTTTTATTTTTATGTTTATGTAAAGTTATAGTTTATAAAAGGGATATTTTTTCTGGTGATGCACTGGTGGACATGGAGTGGTGTAGACCAGCGTGGGTGAATAAAAAATGAAAACAATTAACAGTTTCCAGGTGATACGTGACATTGTAAATGTAATAATAGCAACAGAAGTCCTGTTGGTAACGAGTGATATAACTTTGGTCCTGCAAAAACAAATATTACTGTCACCCCCAACATGGTTTGTACACACACTGTTGCATTTAATACCTCCTTCATACTTTTCAGATAGTAATTTAAATTAAAAAAAAAAAAAAAAAAAAAAAAAGATTTGATGTGCCTATAAGCAGGGTTCACACAGTCATATTTTTATTTTTTTTTTGGAAAAGTTATGAAATCATAAAAACAGTGTTCCAGGCCTGGAAATGATTTGGAATTAACAGTATAGTTTGGAGAAGTTTTGAATTAACCTTCTTTCAGACATTGTCTAAATAGAGTCGTGGAAATAAGGTAAAATATTACGGAAAAAGTTAAGGAATAGTTTCAAAAATGTATTGGTGAAAATGTATGGGAACCCTGATTATAATAAAAACATAAATTAAAGCTGTGATTCCAGACCTTTTTGGCTCGTGGACCTTCACAATAAAACAGTGTCTGGTCGTGGCCTTTTGTCGTGTTTCAGAAGCTAATTCATACATTCACGTAGAAATTCCATTCAGACTTTGAAATGTTCCCCATCATCCATACTTGCTGGACTGTATTCAACTTTCAAATCCCATTCAAACTTTTTTAAATATTCAGATATGTTTGGAGCTTGGTTTTAAAACTAATGCTCTCCTCAGGTTTATAATGGGTTTCTATGGGACGGGATGTTTCAGGGTTAGAGTGGAGGACTCAGCAGTCAGAGTGCAGAGAGCTTCTTAAGCATTTCTCTTTAACTCGCCATCACGCCCACAGTTTTCACTCCACATGCATCATTTGTGGTCAAAATGGAATAAAAGTCGTGCTCTCTCAGTCAGTGTTGCTGTGGAAGCAAACAGACCTACACATTTGGCACAGTGAGCCTGAGAGTGAGAGAAACTTCACCAACTGACACAATTAACTCACTGTAAACTGAGACCAGAGATCTTAAAATATCCCACATCCTTCGTACATTAATGGTTATATTAAACATTTAAAGCCAGCGTTGCAGTGTAGCATTCACACCCACAATATCTTCAGAAATTTCATTCTCTAGTTTCACTTTGATCTTCTCAGATGGTTTCATTCACATTAAGAAATGTCTAATATTTCATGAAAAATTAAGGTAGGATCCAAAAAATGAATGAAAATGTGTGAAGCAGAACTTTACATTTTATTTGTTTATTTATTTCGATCTTTTCCAACGACACTAGCCATTGTACGACTTCCTAGATTAACCTTGTGGCCTTTTAAAAGGGTCCGACCCCAAGGTTTAAGTGCTGTCCTAATATAGTAATAGAAGAAGAAAATATAGTTTATCAATCCCAGAGGCCAAATAAGATGTTTCAACTGTTGTCATATACACACAGGCCTGAAACACACACGCACATGCACAAACAGGATGGATGGAAAGATCTCAGAGGGAGGGAGCTGCACATAGACTGGCCCCCCAAGTAATTTGGGGTTCCTTGCCTTGCTCAAGGGCACCTTGGCAGTGCCCATGAGGCAAACTGGCACCTCTCCAACGACCACTCCATGCTCTACATTTGATCTGGACTGAGACTTGAACCAGCAACCCAACTTTTCAACCAAAGTCCCTGTGGAGTCACAGTGTGGTGTAATGTTTGAGTTATATCAGATTAATTATAGTATGTAGAGGTGGTGTGAACAGTGTTGTGTCTGAACACTAACAGCTCAGTTCTGCTGCAGACACTCAGGTGATGAGAAGGTAAAGTGCAGCATCTAGTGGTCAAAATCTGAACTGCATCTTTATTCTGTAGGAGTTCCACCTGAACATTTGAGTAGAGTTAAACCATCATGAGAGATGATGGATGCTGTGACGTCACAAACTGTGTCGTGTTTGTATCTGAACATCTGTGACCATGATGTGATTCAGTCACTTGTTGCCCTGTATTGAATGCATCGATGCCTACTAACCCTGATGGTGAACCAAAAGTTTTTTTTAAGAGCTTTGTGTATCGTAGTTTATCATAAAGTGAAACAGCTGCTCATCAAACAGAATCTGATGATGGAGGTCAGCTGCAGGAAGTTACAGTCAGTCAGGGCACTCAGGAACAAGAGACCGACTGACCATCAGGTGTCAGCAGAGCAGCAGGACTGCATATTGGAGGAGTTAAAGGAGGCCATAAACAGGCTGTGACACACTGTCAGGTGACTGAGGAGTTTGTCACAGCTGACCTCGACTGTGGTTACTGTTGAGCAACAATAATGTCTGAGTGATGCACCGAAAACCAAAAGTCATGTGCAGTGAGAAACAGGGAAATTCTTAAGTGGTTTTGTTTGGAGTTTAGTTGCCTAAAGTTTAGTTGACATGCCTCCCTCTGCTTGCTCCAAGACTTTTAAAACAATGTCAGATTTGCATTGAAAATGACAAAACTGACCGAATTACACTTAACGACAGCAGTCAAACATTAATAAAGACTGTTATGTTCATGACAAATCTATTTACCTACATAGATATGAAACACAATCTACTGTGATCTACAAGCAGCTGATTAGTGCTCAGACACACAAAAGGTATTCAAGACACCACCACGCACATGATGTGTGAGTCACTTCCAGATCCATCCACACCAGCACTGTGCTCCACATAGTTCTCCACTTCAACATATCTCTCCGTCTTGTCCTTAGAGCTGAAGAGATTTGTTCATATGATGCAACTTTTGCCAGCTCTCTGTGAACCCTTCCTTAAAAGATGCCTCCCCTGGTTTCCTCCATTGTTACACTGATCTGAATGAAATCACTGTCTCAACGATGAGATGTCATTTGTGGGACACTAAGAACACGGACAGAACTCGAAGTTAGTCTGGTAATGTGGTGGCATGTCATGCACACCTCTTCAAATTAAGTGTTACCATGAATTTTATATTGCCGAACAAAATGTGGAAGTCTCTTCAGTATTCAGAAAACCTACTGACATTTTTGGGGTTTTAGGACTCATTCCTGAGGCGCTCTATCTGCAATCCTCACTGCTGGATACCACTAAAATGCCCTAAGTCTTGCACACTGGACCTTTAAGATCCAGCTGAATATCAGTCTAAAATGATAACCTTTAAAGCTCAACATGGTTTGGACCCCAGTTATATAGCTGAGCTTCTGGCTACCTATGCTCTGAGTCGTGACCTGAGATCCTCAAGCCTATCCTCACAAGTCGTCCCTAGATCGAGGCTGGTAACTAAAGGTGACTGGGCTTTAACCGTCGAGGCCTGAGGCTCTGGAATTTTCAACTTGAGGGGATCAGACTGGCTGGCACATTACTTTGAAGATATTTTTATAGGAAAACTTTACCTTTTAATACCTGATTTGTACTTTTGTGATTTCTAACTTTTATGTTTTATTTCCTTTTGTCCTTTTATTGCCTCTGTACACGCCATTTTTCTCAGCTCTTAACCCTTTCACGCATAGTGGTCACTACAGTGGACAGCAATGTAAAGCCCATTTTCTCTTGAATACATTGGTTTTGATGCTAGAATTGTGTATAAGCCACTACAGTGGACCCCAGTGTGTCATGACACACACTGCCACCCACTGGCCAGGTGTTGTAAGTGCAACACAAGTTTCTCAAATCCTAGATGGCAGACGGGATGTAATGTATGTGCAGCTCAGGAATATCTTGCCAATAATAGGAGACCTTTTCAAGTTAAAAACAAAAGCAACATCAAGTATTGATTTTATGATGGGAGGACATTTTAATTAATCTGTCCACTAATCTGGACATCATCCATAGCTGGCTATATTTCAATTACTATTAATAGTACTAATGCAATATTGTTGTCCCTGTAAAATCCAGAATTGAATTTAAAATCCTACTGTTAACTTATAAAGCTCTAAATGGTCAAGCTCCGTCATATCTTAGAGAGCTCAAAGTGCCATATCATCCCACCAGAACACTGCGCTCTGAGAACGCAGGGTTACTCGTGGTCCCTAAAGTCTCCAAAAGTAGATCAGGAGCCAGAGCCTTCAGCTATCAGGCTCCTCTCCTGTGGAATCATCTTCCTGTTACGGTCCGGGAGGCAGACACCGTCTCCACATTTAAGACTAGAC